TCTCTTCCTCCCGATTCTCCTCCCCTGGCACCTGGCAGGGGAAGGGGCAGCGGCTGCTGGGATTTAGCTCCCGGCTGAGGCAAAACCATGGCAGTGGGTTAATCCTTTTTCACATAGAGCTCCCTTCCCTTTTCCCAAGTATCTTATTCCCAAAATGCTATTTTAATACTGATAAATAAAACACTGCTAAAATTACGCTCAGAAGGTGAGGTAGCAGGGTGGCTTGGCTGTACTGTTGCCCCTGTGTGGTCATTATCTGCTCCAGAGAGCTTCTGCTGGTTGTTACATTCCATTGTCAAACAAACCACCCGTGCTCAGGGGCAGCCCGTGTCCCCATCTCTGTAATGAGGCAACTTTGCAGCGATTTCACCTTGCTTCTCTTATTTCTGTCAGCCCAACATCTGCTAAGACTTTTCAGACGTGGTGAATTCTGGCTTCAAGGTGCATTGCCTCTAGGTAAAAATCAAGACAACAATATTTGCCAATAACACCAAGTTATTCTGGATTGTTAAAAACAAACTTCTGCTTTAAAGAAGTGCAGATATACTTTACTAGACTCCCTGACCAGAAAGCAAAATGACAGGTCAAATTCACTGCAGAATTATTAGAATGAAGTGGTGTTCGAAGTGAAGCAAAATATTAACTTCATATATACACGGATAAAAGTCCAACGTGAGGGAGATTACTCCTCAGGATGAGTTTTTTTTTTTTTTATATTATCATCACAATGCATAGCTTGCCAAAATATCAACTCAGTGCTTCATGGATGATCAAAAAGCAGATAGAATTCTGTAAATTATTATAAGGAAATAGAAAAAAAAAAACCTCATGTCAGTATGCTGTTGTACCAAACTGTGATTCAGTTGCACCTTGAGCGCACTGCAGATCTGGTATACCCACCTTTTCCCCTCCTGTAAAAAGTTATACCTGAATCCTACAGAATGGTTTGATCCTAGAGAACATGGATTAAAAAAAACCCCACAACTATACAAGTTATACATCAGACAAGGAATGACTGTATACATTAGGGGCTCCTGAGCCTGGAAAAAAGGCTATGATGATGGTGTGCAAGTTAAAGAGTGGATGAAAAGACCAGGTGGGAATCTACTGCTTTCTCTGTGCCTCTGCCAGTATCTGGCGGCATCAAATGGGGTGCTGTCAGGAGTGAAGGAAGGTTAAGCACATTTGCTATACAATGTCTTGGATGTGAAAAAGTCTGTATGGGTTAAAACTGAAGTTGGACAAATTTATGGAAGAAACATATCAACAGGCATTAGATGCAAAGGAAATCCCTGAAATGCAAATTGTTGGGGTGTGAGTGTATTCCTGAGCTTCCCCAGTGTCCCTGTGCTCCTCCCCAGCTTTCTCCTGTAACCAAAAGGTGAACGGACAAATTCAACCTTCAGTCTGATTCACTCTTTCTGGTTTTATATACTTTTTTTGGTTTATGACCTTATAATATACTGCCACATAATAACAAAACAAAGTCTCCTCCAGACTGACACAAGCATTTCAGTTAGCAGCGTGGTTTTCTCTGCAGCAGCTCAGTGCTGAGCACAGCACCTCTGGTGTGAGCAGAAGTAGCCAGCAGCAAAATCGGGCTGGCCCAGCTGGAGGCAGTATTGGCCTGAGGCTGGGGTGAGGCTCTGGCTTTGTGGTTAACCTCTGTGCCACCATAATGCCCAGGAAGAATCAGTGAAATATGAATTACAGCATGTGAAATCTGACCAGGATGAATTCATATTCCTGATGCATGTAGTTAGGCCAGAACGCTCCTGGTCCATGCAAGAGACAGGTGATTTTCACTCTAAAGTCCTGGATAAGTGATTGTGGCAGAGAAGATGACAGTGACCACCAGCTCCCCTGGCTGGCTGCACATCTGGGTGTCACCAAGTGTGTGACGACAGCAAACTACTGCACTGCCTACGTTGCCCCAGAGAGCTTCAGCTACGTGGCTGTGAGCAAGCACCAAAACTTCAACTGCCTTAATTCTGAGTGCCCGTTCACCTTGTCTACATTTAGACAAAATAACCTTATCTAGGAACCCAGTCAAGCTTGCTCAGAGCATGAATGAAACCTATGGACTCTGAGAGTAAATGTTTTCAGAGGCAGCTCAGTCTTCCAAGCCCAGGAATCCCTTCCAGATATTTTTCTTCATTATACAAGCATTTCCCATAATTTTTCCACTTCATGCCATCTGTTAATTCTGCAGGTTTAGGGGTGTGTGGTTTTTTTTTTTTTTTTTTTTCTGGGCTACAGAGCTGCCACTACTTGAGATGGAGGAGGAAGTCCAAAGTCTGCTTCCTGGCAAATGGTACTTTGATACTCCAAAGCTGAAGCTTCAGCAGAAACCACTTGCTGGGCCATTGCTATGTGTGCACTGGCTAATGTGCTCTAGCTACTTTAAAAAGATTAATCGATTAGCCTCAAAAATTAACTTGATTAGAGTTGAATTTTCTTCTGCAAGAGAGCAAGTCATACTGTGTTGCTAATACTAAAGCAGGGTAAAAAATTGTACACAGTTCTGGGTGGTTTTCTCATATTTTAGTCACTTAATCTGTTGCCTCAGAGCAAAGATGATGAGGTTTAAGTCATTGCTATTTACAGTGCGTGTGTGGACAAATGCAAACCGTTTTTACAGAAACAAAGACAGATCTATGCTGCTTTGATGCTGGTTACTGGGGTGTGTTTCTACTGTGATCTCTACATGACCTTGATTTTGTACAGTGAGCCCATGCTCCTGTTTCCTCTGAATGCTGCTTCTTTGCCTCACTGCATCACCATCACCGATAGAAAGTGAAAATTCTGCAAGCTTCTCTAAGCCATGGGGGATCCAGGACATTTTTTCTTTCTGACTTTTCCATTTTTGACTGAGATTTTGCTCTCCTTAAAATAAGAGGAGGCAGAAAATTGGTAAGTTATGCAGGGCACTGAATTTCTGCATCTGCCACCAGACTGTCCTGGGTTACAGCATTGTGTCCCTGCTGACGGCTGGCAGCGAGTACATCTTCTCACCCGTGGTGTTCAAGTGTCCCTGCAACTCTGGGAACCTGCTGTACAGCTTCATCTTCCTCTTTGTGCCTGCCTTCGTCCTATTTCTGCTCGGCGACATGGTGAATGCCAGGACGTGGCGCCAGCTGACGGGCAGCTGCCCTCCAGAGAAGCACTGCAGCTGCAGCCCCTGGGCAGCCTGTGCCCGCTGCTGCCTCGTGGTGCTGCCGGTGACAGCCAGAGCCTTGGTGGCCCCCTCACCTGGATTGCGGTGGCCCTGCTGAGAGCCAGCTTCTATGAGTGCATGGCCAGTGGGAATGGCACGATGAAGAACCTGATGTGTAAAGGTAAAGGACAAGAATGCCACAGCCTGCTGGTCAAAATACCCTGTGATGAGAAGTTATTGAAGAATATGTCAAGAGAATTCCTCAGTCTTCAGGCACAGTTCCAGGTAAAGCCTCTCTGCTCTTTTTCTCACCCTAAGGGCTTCAACCCTAGCTACTCGATGTGAGGAAGTACCTGCTGGGGACTGTAAATGGGTAAAAAAGGGGTAATGGCTTTAAACTGAAAGAAGGAGGATTTAGACTAGAAGCCATTCTTCACTGTGAGGGTGGTGAGACACTGGAACAGGTTGCCCAGAGAAATTGTGGATGCCCCATCCCTGGAAGTGTTCAGAGCCAGGTTGGATGGGACTTTGAGGAACCTGGTCTGCTGACAGATGTCCCCAGAGGCAGGGAGTGTGGAACTAGATGCTCTTCAAGGTCCCTTCCAACCCAAACCATTCTATGCTTCTGATTGTATGAAATATTTATCATGATGCTCCTCAAAGAGGAAGGCTGAAAAGGGGCAAACTCTATAGCATTGAACTCAGGCAGGATAAGAATGGAGAGCAAAATCAAGGAAGACTTTTACTGATATTGCAATGAAATCTAAAAGAAACTAGTCAAAATGAGAAAAAGTGTGAGAGCATTTTTATTACTGACCATTATTTTTAATATCTGATCTATGTTTAACTTTAAAAATCAAAAAGAAAACAAACATGTTTCTTTAGCACTCAATGTTTTTCACTTGAAAAAAAAATCAGCCTGAAGTAACAGGGGACACTGTGAGAGCTCTGCCTGGAGCCTCTGGGTAAGCACCACTGGGTACTTGGAAGGACCAGCATCTGCTAGAACACCTGCTTTAGGTGAGGTCTCTGAGACTTATATAGTGATGTTAAAATCATGTATAAAACAAGAACAAATTCTCATATTCAGTAGTCAAACCCATGTCCTGCCTACAAAACAGGACATAATTTTTCCTGTGTGCTGCAGCAACTGGCTGTTTTTTGCAGGCTCAGACATCAGGGAGGGGAGGTACTTTCTAAAAGCAGATAAAACAGTCAGCAGGAGGTCTGGCTCACAGAACCAGAGGTGGACAGGGAGATTCTTCACCCTCTGTACTGTAAATCTGACCACAACTGTAGAGACTGCTGGTCAGCATCTTGCCTTTAAAGTTAAGAAAACTGGATATAACTGAGGAAAACATTTTCCTCTGCCTTCTCTTTTTGGGTATCGAAATGAGATCAGCTCAGGGGTGCAGAAGCTCCGTAGGGCTGGCTGAAATGCACACGTGGGATTCTCTCCTTCTGCAGTGAGCAGACTGTCACAGGCACTCCAGAGTGTCTTCACTTACAGTTTTCATGTTGGTTCCAGTGTTAGTTCTATATGCCTACACAGGACCGTGCAAAGCCACCATTAAACCATCTGTCTCTGTTCTAAGCTGATAGGATGGCTCCTGATAGCCAGCATCATGACCATGGTACTGATTTCAACGTGCATCAGCCACTGTTGCTCCCCAGTTAGCTCTCTTCAGCTCAAGTTCTGGAAAATTTACTTGAAAAAAAGAACAGGAGCTCTTTGAGATCAAGACTAAAGAGCATGCAACCAGTCTGGCAGAAAGAAATATAAATTGCTTTTTTGAAGCCGCTGACCCAGCACCATTTCAGACTCCCAGTAATGAAGACTGGCAGTAGATCTCATTCTTACACACCTTCTGTTCCCAGGAGCAGTGTTACAGCGTCATACACAAGTACGTTAACACAAACAGAGGCAACAGCATCAGATTTGGGGAAGGAGGTCAGAATCCACCCCGCACCCCTGTTTGGGATTTGTGGATGAGGCAAGCGCAAGCAAATCAGGGTTTTAAGGAAACAGTACTTTGCAATGCTGGCAGTCTTTACATCTTGTTACATGATGTGACATTTGTACATCTGCTGTCACTGAAATCTATGTAAATTGTATCTAAAAGATGATAGCTGTAACCCTCAGTGGGTTTGTTTTCAAGTACACTAACACATTTGCTTAAGTACAGTGAAATAAATATATCTGTTACAGTCAGTTTTCTTTCGTTGTTGCTCATTAAGAAGAACCACCACATGTGTAAAATACTCAGCATCCACAAAGATGTCAGCAGGTACTATGTCAAATGATTAACTACCAAACACCTTAAGAGCATTTGGCAGCTGGAGTGACAATACCAAACCTTCCTACCTGGCAGCATCCAAGAGACAAAACGGAATGGAAGTTTTGATCTGAAATTCAGCTTAGTTAACTAGCTTTCACTTGACAAGGCATCTTTCACTGGCGCTTAGGGCAAGCTCTAGACTGAAATATTTACTTTCAGTCAATTTGTTTCTCAAGACAAGGGCCTTTTAAAATCTGGATCTTTTAAAATCTGGGGAGCAATGAGCATTTTGGAGCTACTTCAGGTGCTCTTCAATTTGAGTAGGTGAGCAAAAAGGTTTCAGCTCTTTTGCCCCTACCTGCTCAGCAGCTTTAGGTAGTAACAATGAAACCAAAAAAAATTCCATGGTGGTGAATTTTTTTTTTACCACTGCCTGATCTTGATCATTTTTTGCAGCAGGCCTTCTTAATTAGCTCTACTGCTCATTCCCTATAATTGTTAAGTTCTTTAGTGGAAAAAAAAAAAAGGTATTTGAATGCTGCACAAAAACACACCAAAGTTAAACTTCCTGATTATACTTTTTATTTTTTCCTGAAAAATACATACTTACTAGGGTTTTAAAAAAATATATATAATATTGCATATAGTTTTTTCACCTAAGCCACACCTGGATGCTCCTGCTAAATACACTACTTAACTTGGTTTAGAACAGAATCTAAGTGCAAATTAGCATGTCTTCATTTCATGTATTGAAATGAATTAGCATTTCAGTAAGGCGTTTGACACCGTC